CGGGAAAAGAAAGGAGGGGGGGGGGGGGGGGAATTGGGCTTAAAAAGGGAAGGTTTTGCTTTGTAGAATTAGACTCAACAAACTATAGCTGTTGTGCATTTCTCCCAATAAAGAAATCTTTGATGGAATTATTTAGACTCCAGCAGATTTACTGAACTTTGGGACTGAGTGTGCAGACTCTGACATTTTGTTGAGTCTCACTACTTTGAACGAGGGATTTACCCGGGGGAAAATCCTACCATGGAGATCCCTCTCACCAAACGCCCAGCGGCTGTTGGGATGGAAGAGGCGACCGCCGAACTAGGAGTGGTGGGGGGCTGCGAAGAGGAGGAAGAACCCCTAACAGCAACCTTCGCTGCTTGCCTGTTCCCAGCGATCCTGACAGGCGTAAAACCAAGATATGGAGCCGGGAGGAGCTGTACGGGGGAACACCTTTCCTAGAGATGGAACCCGAAGAGCGATGGGCCCTAACTACTGGCCGAATAGAATCCACCTGGAACGGAGCCTTGGAGGAAGGCATGAGCTTGCTGCAAGCCGAGAACAGCTTGATGCGACAAGAACTAAGAGGGCTGGGAGACCTGATACGGCTTTTGGGTATGTTCCGGGACCCTGAGGCAGAGAGGGAGTACGGAGAAGAGAGGTTGGGAGACACACGGCTAGCCACCCCCCTCCTCCCACAACGTTAGCTCCAGCAGCTCTGGTAGCTCGGGGTCCTCTGCCTGCTCCAACCACACCGCCTGCGTGCCCTCCTGCAGCCCAACAGCCGGCCGCACTTCCCCAAGACAACCAAGACGCGCTCCTTAAGCGCTGGGGGCTAAGGGCAAAATTCAGCAGAGATCTGAATGAATTGGCTAGCTTCATGGCTCAAGTTACCTTGTGCATGGAGCAGGCAGGCCATCTGTTCACCTCCAACAGGGAACGTGTGATCTACGTTTGCAGGATGGTTTCAGGAAAGGCGGGAGAATGGCTGATTGAAATGCGCGAAGCCCAAGCCCCCAAGCTACACCACCTTGGCCAGTTTCTAACAGCCCTGCGAAGGAGATTTGAAGACCCGGGAGCAATCACGAGGGCTCGCTTCCAACTGGTTAAAGTGCGGCGGGGATCCTGGAACGTGGGTGAATACACCTTAGAGTTTCGGAGCCTCGTGGGGAAGCTTCCCCAGTGGCCAGAAGATTTTAAAATTGCCTGCTTTCAACAAGGCTTGTGACAAGATTTGTGGCAGCTAGTCTACTCGTGAGCAAACCCACGTACCCTTGATGGATGGATCAAGCATACCACGCAAGTAGAAGCCGATTGGATGGCAGTGGATCTGGAGTTTAAGCGGAAGCTTGGCATTCCTGCGCAGGCGCCTCAGAAACCGCCAGCGAGAGGAGACAAGAAATTTCCCAGAGTGGCAAAGCAATGCATCTGTTTTCATTGTGGAGAGCTGGGGCATTTCACGCCAGCGTGCACCAAACTGATGCTTGCGCGTGCACAGGAGCCGCAGAAACCCTCCGGAGCTGCCCAAAAACCCACCAGCCATAAAGGGAAGAGGGGAACCGCAGCTGGGGGAACGGAGTTGCTGTTCCCAGACCCCATTCTCTATGAAGGGGGATCGGTGGGAAAGAAGCAGGAAAACCCAAACTGCCAGCCCGGGAAGGCTCCTGGCAAAATGACGGCCACGACGGACGATGAGGACGATGATTCCGATGAGGATGAGGGGGTGAGTGTGACCACCATAAAAGTGACTATCTCAGCACCCAGAATGGAGCGCAGAGCTGCGCTTACTGCATTAATGGACACAGGCTGCTTGCGCTATTTAATCAGTCCAATTCTGGTCAATGCTTTAGAATTAAGGGTGAAAAAACTGAAAACCCCCATAGTATTTAACCAGTTGGATGGATCTCAAGCAGGGGGAGGGGCAGTGTTGTACTGCACTGAACGTTTTGAACTGCAATTGGGGACTCACCGAGAGACTCTTAAATGTTTAGTGGCTCCTTTGGGTAGTTATGCCCTGATCCTGGGAGCAAATTGGGTGAAATGGTGGGACCCTCAAGTCTTTTGGAAAACAGGGCGAATGCAGTTTGCAGATGGGGTCTATTTGGGTTCTGAACTGCCCAAGGGAAAAGGCGTGAGAGCTGCAGCTGCAAGCAGTGAGATTCCGCCTCAAACCTCGGACCCAGAATCGATTGAAAACATTCCAAAACCTTACAGGTATTTAAAAGCTGTTTTCAGCAAAAAAGAATCAGACACGCTGCCTCCTCACAGAGAT